TGAGAGAAAAGATCTAAAAGCTGATCAGAGAGGGCACAGTGTGTCTGAGAGAGAATCATGAAGAGCTTGAGCAGGTCATTTAATCCACTCTCCCTGAAGAGAACCATATAGTGAGGAATAGGCTGTAGAGAAAGACTGTGTTTTCAAGCCGGACTTTATTATTTTTTTTTTCCCCTAGAAATTTCCAAAGCATGGGGTGGTGTGAGGCCCGGGAAGGTCTTCATGTCGGTCTTTAAAGCCAGACAATACCACAGGGAAGCTGTGTTATTGACACAGCTGTGTTCATGCTCCAGGGCACCTGGGAAACAACAGCAGAGGGCTGGATGTGGTGGGGGCACGCCTGTAGCCCCAGCTACTCGGGAGGCTGAGGCAAGAGGATGGCAAGTTCCTGGCCAGCCTGGGCAACTTAGCAAGACCCTGTCTCAAAATGGAGAGGACCTGGGATGTAGCTCAGTAGTAGAGCACTCCTGGGTTCAATCTCCTGTACTGCAAAAAAGCAAAAACACTACCAAAGATTGAGTGATGGTAGGGGAGCGGGTACTGGTGCACAGTCAGCATCGCACAGAGAACAAGCTTGCCCACCTCCAGACACACCTACAACTCATCATGGGCTAAGATCTCCCCAGAGGCCCTTGTTGAGATAACCATCATTGTCCAGTGCACCAGTGCCCTATCACCATTGCCATCCTGCAGCAAATACTTTTGGAACCAGGCCTGTCAGCACTCACAGGCACTGTCCCTGTGAAGCTCTAGGGTTGGGGACTATTATTATCCCACTTTATAGATGAGTGGATAGAGGCTGAAAGACACATCTAGTAAGTGACAGAGCCCAAATGAGTCTGCCCCACGCTCATCCTCTGGATGTGGCAGCACTCTGCAATTTCTGCAGCCTCTAAGGCTCTTCCACCCCCATCGTCTCCGTTGACCCTCACATCATATCAATAGGGAGGCACTGCACCCATTTACAGCTGAAAAAGATGAGTCCCTGAGAATGCAGAGGCGTTGCTCATGGACATGTGAGTGGCAATGGCAGCCTCCTGCCCATTGCCTCCTCCATGTGGGTGTGAGGGTGGAGACCCTGCCAGGCACCAGGGAGAGGATTTTGCCCAAAAGGGGGCAGCAGCTGTCTAAATAAAGAAGCAAGGATGAGAGGGCAGGCTTTGTCTGCTTCAGGTGGCCCGGGATCTGCTGCTGCCATCAGAACACCTCTGACTTGTTCTCTGGGAAGCCCGGGTGGGAGCAGCAGGCTGAAGTGACAAAGACCAGGGCCCTGCAGTGAAGACAGCCCCACCCTCCCCGGAGAAGTCTTGGGCTGTGACAGCAATGGCAGTGGTTGTGTGACCCCCATTGAACCCCATGAGGCAAGGGAGCGTGTGTTTTGGAAGTGGCCTAGGCTGGCTCCTGCCTATCCTTCTCTTATCAACGCCACAGACACCCAGGAGATAAAAGTGGGGCTGGCTCAGAGGCAGCACACAAAGCTCTTCCAGGAACACTTTCCTCAAAAATGGGGAGAGGAGAAAGGCCTCTATGCTCAGTCAATGTCTGTATCTGCCCCTGTGCAAGTGACCAGGACCTATGACACGTGGAGAGCTCTCGGCCACTGCCCTGCTCTGGTCCTTCTCTGCTTCCGACAGACCCTAGGTCTCTGGCTCCTGCTGTCCTGGTCTCTTCTGATTTCACAGTCCCCTGAGATTCAGTTTCAGGCCTGCACTCCTCAGATCGTTTGCACCCTCCCGATCTTTCCAGATTTCCTCCCCTAAAAACAGAATCCTAAAATAAATAAAGTAAAATGTCCCTAAATAAATAAAATGAAACACCTCTAAAATAAAACATCTCTGCCTTGGGTCCGCTGCTCCTCTCCCCAAGTTTGGTCCCCTCATCTGCTCCCCACCATTCGATTCTGCTGACCTGACCGCCGTCATCTTCTCCTCAGAGCAGGGGCTGATTAAACCAAGCTATACTTCCTCCAGCTGGGCAGACCAAGCACAGGGCTTTATAGCTGGACAAGAGCTGGTGAGCTCTCTAGTTGAACCCTTTCATTTTATAGTTGAGGAGACTACTCCAGACAGAGGAATAACTTGCCCAAGGTCACAATGAGGTTGAAACCCAGTGGAGACAAGAGCCACTTGTCTTTCCTGTCCACTGCTCTTTCCACTGGAGGTCAAGCCCCCCCACCCCTGGCCCAGGAGAGGCCGGAGGAGCAGAAGGCCTTGGATGTGCTGCCCTTGTGGCCGCCCTGCCCTCCGCCTCCACTCAGCGGTTCCTGGCATTCTCACACCCCAGCCCCTTCCTTGTTAGTTTGGTTTCATGGCACATTATCTTCTCATCTGAAGGCTGCTTTATAGTATAATGTCTTTTTAACTAAGGTGAAAATAAACGAATTCACGCCTCTTGGAATAATCCAGTCCCGTGTGATTGGTCTGATACCCCGGGGTGCACCGAAGCCAAGCTAGATCATTACCGTTCCATAGCGAGTCAGTTAAACATAAGAAACAAGCATCACCAAACCTCCATGGCTTCTTGTAGCTTGCTGCTGCCCTTTCTCTCCTCCTTCTATGCCTTCTCTGTCCCCAACTTACCCTGAACTGGGGACAAAGAAAAGAGAAGTGGGGATGGGGCCGAGTCAGCAATGTGGGCAGGAAGTGGTTTCTCTGCTTGGCCCAGTTTGGGGAAGTGTCTGTTTGTGACTAGAATGAAATGCCCTCTCGGGCTTGGGGCACAGGCTCAGCTGGATATGCGGTCATTCTGCATGTATTTAGGAAGAGGTCTGGCAGTGGGATGTGCTCCATTTCCAGCTTCCTCCCCATATGGACATATGGAATTGTTTAGCATAATGTCATTGTTGGCCAACTTCTGTAAACTTGTGAAATGGTTTCCAGCTTTTAATCCAAAGTTTGCCCTTTTTGGAGGAAAGCTAAATATGGGGAAAAAAATTTGAGGATAGCATTGTTTACTTTGGCTAATTGATTTAAATTTAAGAAAAATAACCAGAGAAAAGACTGGGTGCTATGATTACCCTTTGTCCATTTTAGCAGGTTTAGTTTCCTTAATCTGTTCTTCAGTCCAAAGCTTTGAACTTGTTACCTCCCCCATTTCCAGGCAGGGTGGGGCTGTCAGTTTCCAGCAAACCTGACCGCTTGGACGGATGCCGCACCTGCTGGCCTTCTTAGTTGGTTTCTGCTGCTCTGTGCCCATGTCACAAACTACATTTGTCAGGGCCACAGTCATGGAGAGGCTGAGGTTCTGAAAGACCCAAGAAGCCCTCTAAAGAGTCCCCCAGATGAAGGCACTAGCAATCTTCTAATTAAACTCCACTCTCTAATCCAAGGGTTGATTCATTTGATAGGAGTAATCAACATTCTCTTGGAGAAATACAGAATGTGTCACTCAGTTTCCATTCTTTATTAAAGATCTCATTCATCTGCACTCTAGTTTCTTTTAAGGATGCCTTGACTCTAGATGTTTGTTAACCTTTGCCGGGTCAGGGTTTGGAACATGTATGAGGGTGGAGGACGGGTGTTTAGATGCAGAAGAAACTGACCTTCACCCATGGATTTATCCTTCCTGGGCATACATCGCAATTCCCTTGGGAGCTATTCCCTTTCTACATTTTTTGCAATGGGTTAGCAAGGATCGTGTGTGTATGTGTGTGTGTGTGTGTGTGTGTGTGTGTGTTCATGTGGGCTCATTCAGAACTGATTGGCTTTTCTGTAGATTGTTTGACATTTTACTTTTCCTCATTTCTTTGTTCATCTTTTGCATGGACTGATCAAAAAACTGAAATGTAAATTGCCAGAGGCTTGTCTGAAAGATAGTGCCTAGGTTTATAAACATGCTTCTTAAATATCAGTATAAGTCACCTGAGCAACTTGTTAATACGAGTCCTGTAATTTCCCAATAGAGTCAGATCCAGGGTGTGAAAAAGACTCTGGAATTCACATTGATTGGCTCACCAGGTGATTCTGATGCAGGTGGCCCCATGGACTGACTGCATTTTGAGAACCATGCTGGAGAAATGTTGGACAGGTCTAGCACTTTTAACATTTCATGGTTTGTGGATGAGGTTAAGGAAGCCTGGAGAAGCAAAGAGACTAGCCTTGGTTGGTTGAGTGGTTAGTTAGGGCAGACCTGGACTAGAACTGAGTGCTAGCTCAGTCCAGGTATCCAAGAACAGACCAATAGGGAATGAGCTTGCTTTCAATGGGATGGAAAGGAAACCTACAGCATCTCCTTTTCCAGTGGGCCCTCATTTGGGCCAGATCCCATCAGAAATGAACACTCGAGGTACAATTAGGAGGCAAAGAGAAAGGAAGGAAAAGCTCTTCAGAACAGATTTTGGTTCTTTTGCATCAAAAAGACCAGAGACTCTTCTTTTGGTCCTGCCAGTGACACCTGAATTTCTATCTGGACAACAATGTAATTGGTCAGTGATCAGGAGGCCTGAATCAGCCCCATCTCTGGCAAGGGTGGGCTTTGTGACTTTGGGCCCCGTGCCCAATTTGTTGACATCCCTTTTTTTCTGTGAAATGAGCGGGGTTGCATTAGACTGTTTCAGATGCCTGTGTTCCTGGCATTTTTACCTCTCACTGTGACTCTCCCTGTTGAAGTATCTCACCTGCCAAAGGCACTCCGAGAAGTTGTGTAGACTGGACAAGTGAATAAGGGGAATAAAAATTATTCAGTGCAGAGAACTCCAGAGCCTACTGCCAGTTCTCCCCTCCTGAGCCCCTCCTCAGGGCAGAACAATCTAGCAATGATCCTCCTGCTTCTAAATCACCTGTGTGTTTAGAGGGCTCTAACCAGGAATGAACACAAGCCACGGCTTCAACATCCTGTCCTTTCCAGGGTGATTGTTCGGATCTGGGCTACGCTGGCTTCTCCCCAAGCCAGGAAGCCAGACCGAATAACCTCTCCTCAGGGACAGCCTCTAGTCACAGGCCCTGTGCCCCACCTCACCTCACGTGGCTACCCCGCTGATGGGATCTCTCTGTTCCTTTCAGAAAGCAGATCTGGCTGTGGCAGGCCTCACCATCACAGCCGAACGTGAGAAGGTGATTGATTTCTCTAAGCCATTCATGACGCTGGGAATTAGCATTCTTTACCGAGTTCATATGGTAAGAGACTTATTTTATAAGCATTTATGTCATTAAAGTTATTTGCATGCAAACACTGAGTTATATGGTAATAATGAGTGACTCACGGAAATATTTAGATTTTGAGACTTAAATGCAAATGTGCTGGGCTATTTTTTCCTCCATCAGCTGTGAGAACTTGCAACCAGGAGGGATGGAAAAGTCACACTTGTGAGCTTTCCAGTAAAAATGGCTCATGAATAGGGATGACCAAAAGAGTAATCTGGTAGCACTTGGTGCATAGTCTGTCGGTGACTATCTCTGTCAGTCACACTTCTTTCTCCCGGGGGCAGGGCCTGAAGCCTAGATAAGTCACCCCCCACCTTCTCAAAGATTCCTTCGATTCCCAGATCCACTTGTGTTCACTCTGAGCATTGTGTCTGGTTAGGGAATACAGACTTCTTCCTCTTCTGATTATTCATATTGATGCATACAGAGCAAATATCTAATGTCATTTTTACCTTGTCTTCTGCACCATACCCCCTCCCCCATGCCCACACAAAAAGATTTCTCTGGCTAGGTTAGCTAAAGTGAGCATCAAAATGAGTGTGTGAGAACACACCAATAAGTAGCCAAGGACGGACATGATCCCTGATATCCATCGTGACTGGCTGGGTCATTTCTATCAAGTGGGCAATTGTTGTGCTCACAGAAAATACCTGTCTTTATCTAGTTTACCAAACTGGACCAGAAGAGCCTTTCTCTCCTCTTTTCATCCACACTGGCTTGCAGCTACATGGATTTCCCCAGCTCTCTAGTCAGTTTTGGTGTCCATACTTCAGTTGCCATGCATATTTCTGTACATAGCCTGGCACCAAGAGGCTGCCCAACAGGAAAGGACTGCATGCCTGCTGAAGTGACCCCAGCCCTAGAGAAAGAGGACATTTGCACCCTCAGCTGGAACCCTACGCTGCAGCTGTTGAGGCATCGGGAGCTGTTCCCAGGTTTCTCTAGGAGGGTCATCTCCTGTCATGGACCCTAGGTAACAGGCCCACTGTTCAGATGAGTGATGTTCTGTGCTGGGCCTCAGTGTCCTTCATGGTTACCACCTGACCTGGGAAAGATGACCAGATCATCTGGAGGAAGTGATGCCATTGAAATCTCAAACTCCACAGGCTAAGACAGAAAGAAAGGCAAAGATTTCACAGTCAGGCTGTTATTGATGTTTGTTTCTGTGCAGTAAGGTACATTTGGACCCCTCCCAGCCAATGTCCTCCTCTTGTCCTCTTACTGATGATAGTTCCCATTTGTGGAGTACCTTCTATGTCCCGAAGAGTCTACCAGGTGCTTGTGACATGGGTTGTGGTTATGGGTTGAATTGTCTCCCCTTGAAATGCATGGTGAAGTCTTAGCTCCAGGACCTGTGAATGTGACCTTATTTGGAAATAGAGTCTTTGCAAATGTTATCAAGTTAAGATCATACTGGATTTCCATGGGCCCTAATCCAATGAAGGGTGTTCTTATAAGATGAGGAAAATTTGGACACAGACACATAGGGGAGAATTCAAAGACAGAGATGGGAGTGGTGTGTCTATAAGCCAAGGAGCACCCAGGATTGCCAGAAACCACCAGAAGATTCCTCCCCTAGAGCCTGCATGGGGAGCCTGGCTCTAATGATGCCTTGGCTTTGGCCTTCTGGCCTCTAGAACTTTGAAGTGAAAGATTTCTGTTATTTTAAGCCAGTCAGTTAGGGTACTTCGTTTTGACGGTCCCAGGAAATGTGCACAGTTGTGTTGTTCTTATTTTAGAAATGAGAAAACTGAGATGGGATTAGTTTAAAAACCAGGACAAGGCCACATGCTAATAAGGCAAAGGGTAGGGTACAAACCCAAGGACAGAGTGACTCCAGCCCGTGCTCTCTCTGTGACCCCAGCCTGCCACCCTCATGTTTTGCACATCCTTCTTCATTTGGTTCTCAGAGCCGTTCTCTGAAGAGGGAGGCAGGTACCATAATCCCTGACTCGCAGATAAGGAAGCTGGAGCGTCACTTGCAGCTGACCCAGGGCAAGGCTGGGGTGAGGCCTCCCAGCTCCAGGACAGTGCTCCGGTCACTGTCCCCCTGTCCTCCTGCAATTTTCCAACCAGCATCTTGTTTTGAGGTTCCTCCTCCCTACACTTGGCCCTGAGGGAACATCCAAAAGACATGGAGATGCACAGCCTTTTTCAAGACCACCCTGCTGTAGCTGCAAGTAGGCTCCGGCCTTGATTTCTTAATTAACACTGAGGAAAGAGCTCTCCCGGTGACCCAAAGACACCCCCACCCCCCGCCCAGGAACCAGGTAGCCAAAGACACCTGCCCCTGAGTGTTTCACTTTGCAACGACTGTGGCTTCGCTTCTCTGAATGCAGAACACCATTATCCTGAATATCAACTCTGGCCAGAACTATACCCCAAGTCACCAACCCTCTGGTCATCCTCCGTTGAATTGTTGGCCAATTGTTTACTACCACCACAGACCTATGACTGTATTAGTTCCTGGGATATTAAGTTTTATGTGTCAAGTAGGCATCGCTGTGAAAGTATTTTGCAGTGTAATTAATGTCGACAATGAACTGACTTTAAGTAAAGAAGGTAATCCTTCAATACTGTGAGTGGCCTCATCCCGTAAGTTGAAGTCAGTGAAAGGCAAAGAACTCAGGTTTCCTGGAGAAAAAATTCTGACCCAAGGCAATAACATGGACATCGTGCCCATTCAGATATATTCACCTTTTGGACTTAGCAGCTCCCCCAACATGTCAGCTAGGTAGGTAGATAGATAGATAGATAGATAGATAGATAGATAGGTAGATAGATAGATATGATGTGATATGATATACACATAGATATAGATATAAATATAGATATATCTCCCATTGGTTCTGGTACAGTTCCCCAGCGTGGCCTGGATTCCTCCCTCCTCTGGCCTCCCCTTGGAGGCCCCAGTATGCCACATGGCTGCTCAGATCTGATTTATAACAGGGCCAAACTGAGCAAAATATGAGCGCTGGAATGAACAGCTTACACTGAACAGAACTGACAGTTTATGCATTTATTCAACAAATATTTATCGAGTACATTCTGTGTGAGAGGCACTATGCTTAGAGAGTACCAAAAAGTCAGCTCGAGAGAGAATGTTCCTGGATCTACTGGTGATCCTGGTGAGAGTGAGTCCAAGATGAACTTTGCTATATCTGACCCAAAGAGGTCTCCGCAGGAATCGCTAATGTTGAAGTGTAGATGGGTGGAGTCCACCCCGAGAGCCTAGATCAAAAACTACACGGAGAGGCCGTCTCCAGTGTGATGGTGCTACGAGACTTAAAGCCAAGTACTGGGTATTTATTATTTTGTGAATTTTCTCTAATTGATGGTTATCTTGGAATGAAAAATGTGCTTAATTTTGTTTATCATTTCTAAGAATATAGAATTTCTCTCTCAGTTCTCTATCTATGAACTCACCTGACTGATGAGCAGTCGTCACCAAAACGTGAGCATCTGGTGGCAATCAATCCCCTGTGCAAAAGTAGAAATCATTAACTCAAAGTGAAATGCCTTGTGAAGAATTATTTTTAATTACTTAATTTTAAACTGATGCACAAAAGCATAAACATTTTATGTATTAATGGGGTCCCATGTCATGGCCCGTTTCCTGCATATGTTATTACATAATATAATTTCTAGTTAAGAATTATTGACAAAGCCTCCCAAATCATAAGTGATGGCAAGTGTGTCTCTGAATGTAAAGATAACCAGAAATAATTTGTGAATTTCCAACAATCTAAAGTTATCTGGGCTTTTCCATGAACATAGATCCTTAAGAGTTGATTATGGGATACTTTCCTTTTTCCCCACATCAGGGTATAATCTCTCTTTCTGAGGAGACATCTCTAGAACCAAAATAAGAAAAATGTTTTGCTCCCTTTACCACCTATGCCCTGCTACTTGACAGCCCAGCTGAGGAGTCTGGGTTTGGTATTTGTCCCTGTTGATATGTCCGTCCTGCTTTTAAAAACTCTCTGTTCTTAGCATCCAAGTCACCATTTTCTCCTGGAGTCCCTCATGCCTCCTTATCATTTTGGTTGATTCCTTTTTCTTTTCCCCTATATAATTTTCTATTTATTTATTTATTTTATTTTTAATTTTTATTAGTTACACATGACAGTACAATGATCTTGACATATCATACATTTGAATCAAATGGGGTATTTCTTTTTCTTCTTCTTCTCTCTCTTCTGTCTCCCTCCCCCTGGATAATCTCACCCATGACTCATCTGTGACCCACCCCAGCCTCGCCCCTCAATTCCAGGAGTATATTTCTCACTCATTACTGTAGCTATCCACCTGGGTCTCACAGACTGCTCCTCCCCGCCAAAAAAATAGCATCACAAACTGCATTCAGTGTACTCAAACATGTCCCTCCTCCTCTACTCTGAACTCCCTCCGGTAATGACATCTCCGTCCAGTACCCCAGATCATCCTGCCCTGTCCTCACCTCTCATCTCACCTCCTAGGTAGTTCTCAAGCGCGCTTCAGGTCTCCTAATCTCTAACCTGAACTGTCAACTCAGTGGGATGAACGTCAAAGTGTAGGTAACCCCTTGTCAGACTACAGATTTTTGTATTTTTGATATGAAAAATGTAATCATCCTAAACCTTCAGTGTTTACTGGATAGGTATGAAAGGAAGGAAGGAAGGAAGGAAGAAATGGCTGGCAGCTCCTGAATCTAGGGACTCTGAGGTCACTGAGCTCCATCCTTTACTCTTGGCTCCTGTTGGGCAGAGCACTGAGCCCCAGCAACCTGGGTTTCTGTTAGGGGATCCTGTGGGGCCAGTATTCTAGGAAGCAAGATGAAGGCCCTAAATAGATGATCTTTTTCTTTTTGGTCTTTACCCTCAATGGTCTTGACAATAAGAAGAGATGGGAGGCAGAGGTTCCGGGCAGCCAGATCCCTCTTCTGCTCAAGCCTGGCCAGAGTTGCCACCTGAGCGCATTGCAACACCTACATG